CGTAAAAAGTTGAAAAATTGGATATTTCGTCCACCTACCTGAAATGGTACTCAAGATATCAGTATTTTAGATCACAGAAATAGAGTAAAGAACAACTTCCGGTTATCGGGGGTTACTCAAAAGTAAAAAGTTATTGAAATACAACATCTCATACTTATATATTAAATTTCGTCTGTATAACCGAGAGAGTAAACAAGTTATAGTGTTCACAAGGGAATAGAGTAAAAGGCCACTTCCGGTTTCCAAAAATCATTCAAATTTGATTTTAAAATGCGATTACAATGTGATACTTCTGCGTGAAATTTTGTTCACGTGAAATAAACAGTACATAAAATATTGGCTTTTGAGTAACCGGATGTAGATAAAAGTACCACCTCCGCTTATCGAAAATCGCTCAAAAATGTATACAGAATTATAAATTTGATATAATACTTATTTATGAAATTTCGTCAACATAAATGAAACACAGACCTACAGACAAAATTTTAAAACTAAGTTTTTCCTACTCATGAAGGTGTAAAACGTCATGATCTGTCAAAATATTGGTTTCCCTATACCTCGTATATAGAACAGTAAAAAAAAATTCTTAAAAATTAGCATTTTAAAATAATATTCTTTTGAATATTCACTAAAAATGAGAAAACCGTGTATTATATACTGCCACGCTTTTCTTAAGAGTTATGTTAATAGTTGTGAATTATTATATATTTAAACTTTTGAGTGATATAAATATTGGTGATGTATCGGAAAATCCCACGCCCCAACAACATCATCCAAGAAAATGTGGTACCTACGTTCTTCACATTTTAATAAGTCAAGTAAAAAATAATAAGTTAGGTATCGAGGAATAGCTGATAGCACCGACTTATACCCTATGCTGATATTTGAAGACACCTCACACAGAGGTGGGGTGACATGTCCCATGACACTACGATCGTGACGACAAAAAGTAAAACCGGTTTCAAATGTAGAGCATCTCTTTAGTTAGCTCCATGTTAGTCACGCAGTCCTTGCTTCTCTTTCAATAGTTCTCCAGTGTTATCTTGGTCTACCCAATTTGGTTTTCCTTGTAGGTTCAGTGCCAGCATGCTGATGGTTTCATCTGTTCTTCCCCGGGGCATGTCCTACCAGCTCCACCTTTTGATGCCTTTATCTATGCTGTCTGGTGTCACAGGTGGGGGGGGGGGGGGGGGGGCTGGGGATTTGTTCGGACCTTCTTATCTCGAGGGTGTGTCGTAGGTTCTGGTTTATCTCTAGTATGTGTCGTAGGTTCTGGTTTCTAAAGGAGCCTGAAGGTCTGGGGTTGATTGATTTTGTAACACTCCAGGTCTCCGAGACAAACACTTTCGTTATACTCTAACTCTATCTACCTCTGTACTCAGTACTCCACCCACGACCTCCATCTACCTCTGTACTCAGTACTCCACCCACGACCCCCATCTACCTCTGTACTCAGTACTCCACCCACGACCCCCATCTACCTCTGTACTCAGTACTCCACCCACAACCCCCATCTACCTCTGTACTCAGTACTCCACCCACAACCCCCATCTACCTCTGTACTCAGTACTCCACCCACGACCCCCATCTACCTCTGTACTCAGTACTCCACCCACGACCCCCATCTACCTCTGTACTCAGTACTCCACCCACAACCCCCATCTACCTCTGTACTCAGTACTCCACCCACGACCCCCATCTACCTCTGTACTCAGTACTCCGCCATATTCACTCTACTCAAGCTGAGAAAAAAACACACCTCTTCTGATTGGCTGGTTGCTAGTTAGCCACGCCCAATCTCATTCCAAAAGCAATCTACCTTTCAAGACTTAAATGACGTTATTCTTTCCCTTAATCCCAGTACATGGTCTCTAATCCCATCCGTCTAGAGTTACCGCCCATGTTAGGATGAACCCCTTCTACTTATGTTGGCTTAGCTAGACAAATAGTGTATTAGGTAACCGAAGCTTTGTTTTGTTGGGCTCTACGCCTACACAATGGTTGGACAGAGAATTTAATTTTTTTTAATAAGGCTGGTTGAGGGTTAAGGCTAGACGTGTTCAAGTCATGCTGTAGGGTTAAGGTTAAAGACTTGTGTTAAACCAATAATGTAGGGTTAAGGTTAAAGACTTGAGTTAAACCCATAATGTAGGGTTAAACCCATGCTGTAATGTTAAGGCTTGGTAAAGACTTGTGTTAAACCCATGCTGTAGGGTTAAGATTAAAGACTTGTGTTAAACCCATGCTTTACTGATGAAGACGCCTTTGTTAAATACATGGAATAGGGGTAAGCACCAAGAGAACCGAATTTATGAATATGTTCATTGAATGCATAGAGAGCCGAATCTCCGTTGCAATCTTTAATTTTAAATGATATATTACAATAAGAAATTTGTTAGACACCGTCCTTATTAGGTAACGCCTAGATATTAATTAAAGATAGCGCTACATGAATGGAGAATGTGATCTGTCAAAGGGCGGTCACCATTAGCTGGAGATTTTAGTTTTATTTCAAACGATGTCAGATAGATATCTGGGGAATGTTTGCTAATTAGATAGATAGGGATGGGCAGATATGTAATGTATGTTAAGAATATTATAAATATGGAATAAAAGAGGGATCAATAAGCGTCGTTAATTAGTTTAGCATAAAGTACACGCAATTTATAAATAGATCTCACTTACGAATAAATAAAAAAAAATGCATAAATAGAAATGAGCAAATAAAACAAAAAATAATCACTTAATTAATCAATAAACAAATTTATATATATATATATATATATATATATATATATATATATATATATATATATATATATATATATATATATATATATATATATGTGTCGTACTGTCGGTCATCGGTATAGGCCAGGGGTCGGCAACCTTTTGAAGCGGAAGAGCCAAAAGTTACAATTTTCAAAATTTCCCTGGTTTTAAAGAGCCACTTAAAACTTTTAATTCAAATATTTTATTTTTTTATTAAGATTATTAGTATGTGTGCAAGGAGCTGGAGAGCCGCATCTTGATATCAAAAGAGCCGCATGCGGCTCGCGAGCCGCAGGTTGCCGACCCCTGGTATAGGCACTTTGCCTTCGTATGCGGCGAAAAATTGTCTAACCTAGAACTATTCTCACTGCAAGTTTTCACATCAGACACATATCGCTGTGGCAGAATTATATTGTACAGTACTATCTCTACATTAATTATTTCTACAGTGCTAAATAGACAGCGCAGTTACATAGCATACTATGCAGAATGTACACCCATTTAGCCGCAAACAAAAACTGAAGATTTGTGTTGAACAAAACTTCAGTAAGCAAAAAGTAAATGGAAATATTTAGCGCAGAAAATCGCGCGTTGAACCAAATTACGCGATTTTCATGCTTAAAATCAGCTGAGAATATAGAGAGGTCGCATATACAAATAAATAAATGTCCATGACGGATATCAATGCTGCATGCCATGCGTCATGTCGGCCAAACAAACACCGTACGTCAGACTGACAACAGTGCCGCACCGAGTAGCATGATAGACTTGTATTGACGAAGCACCGGACTTATTATGTTTAGCGGTGACGGCTTTCTGCTTTAGAATGTAATATATTTTCTAAAGATCTATTCCCCCTTCTGCAATTAAACTCCCAAACACTGCCTGAATAGATAAAAAAAAACAGGTATCCTCTGTATTAAACATTCACTGAATTGAAAGGTATAGAAAGTCGGATCGCGTGGCTAGAAAATTCTTGCCGCATAATAAATATTTACACGGACATGAAAATCTTTTCAACGATTCTTCCGTGTGGTCAAGTTGAAGGATCGGTTAACTACAGACCGTTTAAACACAACACGAACTTTTGACAGAACCTAGCCTAAACCAAGAACACCAACTCAATAGTTTTACCTTACTTTTACATTTCAACATTCAACCACAGCCAATTTTTAACGCAAAGTTCTTTCAATGTCAGATAAATCTACACGCTATCTGCAATCGTTGTGGGACACATAAGATGTTGTAGAGATCGATCTAAAATCAATCAGCACAAAATCGCGAGCCTATTGGTGCTGAGTAATTTGCAGTTGACGCAAAAGGGATCTGATATATGGAAACAGAGAACCGACACATGGAAAAGGATAACCCACAAACGGAAAAAGAGAACCGACACACGGAACTAACATACACACTAAAATGTACGTTTTGTTAAAAGAACGCTAAGAGTCTTTATAAATTCGTTTGATCTAGTGAAACATTGAAAATATGAATGGTCCTGATCCAATTAAATAAAGGTTCGGTTAAATGATTTTTTAAATCGGGTAAATGAAACATGCAGTCGTCATCTGGTTTGATATCACGTGCTAGGATCACGACCACGTGACATTTCAATGCACCACAAGAGATGAAACACCTGCAGCACATTTACCTGTAACCCAACAGATGAAACACCTGCCTACAACATTCTCTTGTACAATTGCCCATGTGAGATCCGCCAAGCGTTTCATGGCGTGTAACATAGCACCTTCATATTTCCTTACATAACGTGTAATATACCACTTTGAACCCTCCTTACATAAAATATAACATACCACCTTAATCGCTCTCTATGTCCACGGTGACATACCCCTGCCTCCATGAGCACCAAAAACCCCACCCCCACCCCAAGACTGTGACATACCCCTGCCTCTATGAGCACCAAAAACCCCACCCTAAGACTGTGACATACCCCTGCCTCTATGAGCACAAAAAACCCCACCCCCCACCCCAAGACTGTGACATACCCCTGCCTCTATGAGCACCAAAAACCCCACCCTAAGACTGTGACATACCCCTGCCTCTATGAGCACAAAAAACCCCACCCCAACCACCAGCAACCAGACTATGTTCCTGCAAAAACTTACTCTCCTTATCCCCTACCCCCAGCTGCACCCCCCCCCCCCTGTTCAGTCGGTCTCCCAGCATTATTGTGTATGCGGGGGGGGGGGGGGGGAGAGAGAACAGCCATGCGGGACGTGGGCGTGGTCTTCCTCTGTCTGGCTCGTGCCTATCACATCTGGTTGGTCGAGCTCAGATCACGTCAGGGTCACGCCCGGGAGATCACGCCAGTAGGTCGAGGACAGGTCACGTCAGTAGGTCGAGGACAGGTCACGTTAGTAGGTCGAGGACAGGTCACGTCACCGCCAAGAAGATGTCAACGTTTGTGTCAGGATAACGTTATCCCATCAGGTGGCGGAGATATTTGTCAGTATCCCATATCGTTGTGACAGGTATCGTGTCCACATCTCAGATCGTTGTGACAAGTATCGTGACAGTATTACGCTAAATAGAACAAGGCACCGTAACGACAGCGCACGTATATGTTCACAAGTTTTTGTGTCCCAATTAAATGAACGAGTCCACTTGCTGAAGATTTCTTGAAGTGCGAAATAACAAATCTGGAAAAAAAAAACAACCCTCAACAGTCGCCGGAAAATTTAATTTGAATCGAGTTAGACCAGGTGTGTCTACGTCTGCTGAGGCGATGACAGGTAACGTCAGGATAGTCAGCTGTTGTAGGTGAGTACACACAGAACGAAACAGAGTTGATATAGAAAATATATACTTTTACCAGTGTCCACCCCAGCCATAGGAACTTTTAGTCAGCCCCCGAACGAAATAGAGTTGATATAGACATTATATTATATTTTTACCAGTGTCACCACCAGGAAATTTTGTCCGCCCCCCCCCCCCCCTTCCCACCCCCAAGAATTTCAAGTGCCCCTGGAGAAAAAAATCTGTAAGTGACACTGTTTACTAAGCAGGTGTTGAGTACGATTGTAGGAAAAAAAAGTCACAGGATAAAAAACACAGAAAAAAGTCACAGGAAAAAATGTCCCAAGAAAAAAATGTCACAAATGTGTATTTGTATGGAACTTGTTAATACTTTTATGTATTAAACATTCAGAAAGTGCAAATTAACTAACGATAAATTAAATGTTATGTTATGTGCTTATAGTAATATTTATAAGATAATTAAAAAAATATTTAGTATGAAGTTTGTAGGTTTTAATTGCGATATACATACAACATTTAATAAAATATAATAGCAAGGTTTTCATCGTGTTTTTTAAATACTAACTTAGCGTGAAATGGCATAAAGACGTAGTTAATGTGACTTGCTGTCCTCAACTCATCGCAACAATAGCTCAACCACCTTTACTGCCCACAGTTATCTTGCTCATCACATAACAAAGCATAGGATCAGAACAGAAAGCCGACACTGAACATGGTATGTCATTGACGCAAAATGTCAACAACACACAATATGGACTGACAAGGCCGACTGAGGAGAAGTCCACGGCAAAAAACATGCAAATAACACCGCGTATCTAATTTAAAAACATATCAAAAGTAGGGGATGCTGTGTAAATTATCTTATAGTAATTCTACTTATTGTTGTTTTAAACCAGGGGTCTCCAAACTACGGCCCGTGGGCCGAATGCGGCCCTCGAAGTCCTCTCATCCGGCCCGCGGAGATCTTTTTGTCCAAGAGAAATAGTTTGTTGGTGATGGCTGAGGAACTTTGCCCAGAAAAATCAAAGACTTGCCTGGAAGAAACTGGCCCCCGAACTGAAATTTGATAGTTATTGCGGCCCTCGGACTGAAAAGTTTGGAGCCCCCTGTTTTAAACCATAATGCTTTTAAAGTTTATAAGTATCTACCATAAAATTACTCTCACACATAAATAAACACTCACAATTTTACAATTCTCAACAATTAAATAAAAATATTTCTTAAATTACTTTTGTGATTTATTTCTGTGACTTTATTTCGGTGACTTTTTTTCCCAAAGAAATTTTTCCTTTGTGACATTTTTTTCTGTGACTTTTATTCCTAGCAAAAAATTGTGATTTTTTTCCCCTTTTCACCGTTGAGTACTCTGTATCCTAGCATCACCCACAACTGTGCTGGTCAGTTTTTATTGCCACGTAGACGGAGCAATGAATGTCTGGACAAGTACCCCACCCGCAATACTACGCTTCATATGCTTATCTTATTATCTAATTCATATGGTCATACGTCTATATATGTTCACTGACAGATGGTCATATGTCTATATATGTTCAGTGACAGATGGTCATATGTCTATATATGTTTAGTGACAGAAGGTCATATGTCTATATATGTTTAGTGACAGAAGGTCATATGTCTATATATGTTCACTGACAGATGGTCATATGTCTATATATGTTCACTGACTTAGTCTTCTGTCGTACCTAGTCTAAGACAGAAGTCAAGTCTGAATATCAAATAAATTTTAAAAAAAAAGCCCGATAGCCTTTCGCGCACATATCTGACACACACACAAACAGAGAAAAATACATATTCTATAGCCCTAAAAAAACAAATATTTTTTAAAAACTCTGTGTGTTTTTAAGATTTATAAATTACATTTTTATTTTTTCCCATTCGCTGACGCTCCAACATAATCCCCAAACATGTTGGCAGAAAACGTCTGAACACAGATCAAAAGATAGCGGCTCCATTCAAGTTTTAAAGCCGCAGTTGACAGAGGTCTAGGGTGAAACATTAGCTATGACCTTCCATAGGTCTAGTGTTAAACATTAACATGAACGATTGCCTAGGAAAAATGTCAAAGAAGAAACTGAATTCATATTTAATTGTCAGCAGGATTGCCAGTGTCTACCATCTGTCAGTAATCATACATCAACACATCTATCTAGACCAGGGGTCTCGAAACTACGGCCCGCGAGGCCCTTTCAATGGCCCGTTGAGATCTTTTTGTCTACGAAAAAAAAACACCGATATTTTCGTGTATCCTGCCAAGATCAGCCACCGCTTACGTGGATGTTTTGATTTTACTGAATTAGAGTGTCCATTCGAGCGATTGTCGCGTTCGGGCTAGTGTCCATTCGGGCATTTTTGTCGCATTCGGGCAAGTGTCCATTTGGGCATTTGTCGCATTCAGGCAAGTGTCCATTCGTGAAATCGGCCTTCGGTCTAACGGCATTCGGGCAAGTGTCTTTCGGGAATTTGTCGTAGACCCCTACTGACTAGTAGGCCGTCTATTCTGTCATTGCGTTATGTGTATATTTTGATGTAGATAAGTCCATACGATTCATTTTCAGTCGTAAGTATGTATCTCTATATGCACACATACACGTGTATCCGTAAGCATGTCAGTTGCTCCGTATGTATGAAATATATGATCTTCCTTGTATTAGAGTATGTATGTACCGAGCGTGGGATTGACATAATAGCGTCTTACAAATCAATCAGCGGTTAGGATAGTGAAGTGTGTCGTAGAGCATTGAATGGCAGAGTAAAATATTGTAAGACGGAAGGTTGGTAATCAGGGGTTGGTGCATGGGGGGGGGAGGTGGTATATGAAGGTTAGTATTTGGGGGTTGGTATAGGGGGGGGTAGGTATGTGGGATTTGGTACATGGGGGTTGATACATGGGGATTGGTAATGGGTTGGTACATGGGGGTTGGCACATGGGGGTTGGTACATGGGGATTGGTAATGGGATTTGGTATATGGGGTTTGGTACATGGGGGTTGATACATTTGGATTGGTAATGGGGGTTCGACATATGGAGAACTTGATACGGACTTTTGTTGTAAATATGTTAGATGTTTTAAATGTATACACAAAATTAAAATTTTATTTAAAGAAGAAAAATAAAAATAAAGGCATATTCGAATGTAGAAAAACAATTTTAATTATGCAACCGGAAAATTATTTATAGTTGTGACAAGAACGCAATACAATGACGTCACAAATGTTTAAACTAAGGAAAGAACACAAAACTAATGGCGTCATCTTCCGATTTTAGAATATAAAGAAATGAACTATTTCATTCAAATTTGATTTAGATCTACGTACGCTATGAAAAGTATATAATACAATTTTCTCGCCCTAAACTTATAAAATTTACTTTATCTATTTGGATGCTAGATCTAGAGATTCTAGATCTAGTTCTAGAGATTCTAGATCTAAATCTACGGAAAAACTAGTGTGACTCTAGATCAAGGGTTCCCAACCTTTTTTTTACTCTAGAGCACATTCTAAAATATCGGTAGGGTGGCGGGCACCACCTATATTAAATCGACAAACTCCTTCCAGAGGCGTAGCGACCCTTCCCGTCACCCAGGGACAAAACGTTCGATTTTGCACCCCCCTTCCCCCTCAAACTTTCGATTTGCACCCCCCCCCCCCTCAAACTTTCGATTTCCATCCCCTTCAACCTTTCAATAATGTTTATGAAAAAAATTCTGTCTCTGTCGAATAGTGAGAGGCGGGCACATACGAAGCGTTCAGCGGGCGCCATAGCGCCCGCGGGCACGGGGTTGGGAACCCCTGCTCTAGATAGATCTAGATATATATCTAGTCTCTATCTAGATCTAAAATCTATTTCAATAATAAATTTCTATACTAAACTATTTCAGGTCCTCATTATTTTATAGAAATCTTTGTTTAGCTATGGGATTGGCTAATTTGGGATAAAATTTAATTTGAAATAATAGGGCTAATTAGCGTAAGTTAAGTTTCTTAACTACCTCTTTTATTCTTCATGAATTCTAAGGTGCCTAAATAGCTGAGATGATAGTGTAATTGATACCACGCTAAGTCAATCTTAAATATTTTTTTCAATTTGTTTTTTTTAAATATATGAATTATAAAGTTGCATATCGCGACTTGGCGGGAGACGGGGCAGGTGAAGTAGAGTTCACCTGTTTCTTTCTTTTCAGCATAAGAAGGGATAGTGTGGTCAGACCTATGCCCAGCCGAAATAGGTGTCTTTAAAAGAAAAAAACAACATAAATACCATTGAACAGCCGGTTTTTAACGAAATCTTTTAAGTCTCTTAATTTTAAGTCTCTTAATCAGCGAGTGCATTTAATATTGTATTGTGTTGACTAATACTGTATATAAATATACATTTTCTTCAGGCATCTCTGCCTTTTCTTCCTCTTTCTCCTCCGAACGGAATTGAAAAAAAGTAATTCATAAAAAATATAGAAAAACCGGTATCCGTTACCCCAACCCCCCGCCCCTCCCAACGCACACACATCCGCACACACAGACGGACGAATGAACACAAAAAATAAATAAGGTTTGCAAAAGAGCTTACTTTAATTTTCACTTTAGCATAACAATAATGATTACTAGTATTCAATTAGTTTACTGTCTTATCACCTTAATCTTAAGATAGTTTAGTACGTTCATGTGTGTCTGGTTGAGAAGAGGTTGGAGATTTGTGGGAGTGTGTGTGGAGGGGAGGGGGAGTGTGTGTGTGGGGGGAGGGTGAGTGAGGGGGGGGGGGGTATCGTGAAAGAAAAATTATGAATTCGATGTAAAGCGTGTTTGAAATGAAACACGAGACCATTGAAAAATAGACACGATAATTGAAGCGAAACTTAGAAACGCAAATAGAAATTTCTAGATGTTTTCACAAAACAGCGGAGTGGGCTTAAGTCATCATCAGGAATTTTGATTTCGCGGCGTCGCATTACAGACCCCATCTTCGGTCAAAAGACGCGTACACATGACGCATTCACTCAAAAAAGACGTAATTCATCATGTAGTTTTGTGTGTGTGTGGGGGGGGGGGGGGGGAGGGGGTGCAGTGGCGTAGCTAGGGTTTTCGGGCCCCTATGCAAAAAAATTATCAGTGGGCCCCTTTGTCAACCGTTAGGCTACAATGGAGTTAAACGAAGGAATAAAATGTTACTTAAGATGGAGGGTTTTCAAAAATATAAATATTCTGTACATTATGTATTTTACACTTCCTGATTGTGTATTTAAACTATATTATTATGTAGGACTACACCTCCGTAGTTTTGCGTCACAAGCTGGGGGAAGATGTGCGGTCCACATTGAGTGACACCATGACAAAACATTGTAAAATTTGTTGTATCTAGCTGGTTTATTGTAAAAACACTATCCGTTGTGGTTATTTTAATAAACCGTGAGTGATCTCCCTTAAATTTTCTCGAATATTCTTATATAACACTACGGGGGATGGCAACTCGGGATATAGACAATATTTTAAAACCATTTTAATTACTTAAATTTTTAAAAATAGAATAGAATCTCGTAGAAAAAAGAATTGCGCTCCAAGTGAACGTCAAATAATATGTGTTTAATAGTGCAGAATTATATTAGTACTTTATAAAATCACATGCGTTTTTTGAGAAATCGGAAATAGCGTAAATTACTACTTTCTGTCAAAGGAAATTACTCAAAATTTGATAGAAGGCAGAGAATTAGATCTTTTACTTACATGTGAAATTTCATTTATCTATCTTAAATAGTACTCAAGTTATAGGCTTTTGAAAAATTGAAAGTAGAAAAAGTTCCACTTCCGGTTATCGGAAAATTTGATACAGATCTACAAATTTGATATAATACTTATATACGAATATACATCAACCTAGCTGTAACGCTACATTGTTATCGTGTTCACAGACACAGACACACACACGCACTTACACTCACACACACACACACAGACATACGGACAAGATTGCAAAACTATGTTTTTCCGACTCAGGGAGGCTTAAAACGCCGAGATTGCAAAAATCTCGATTTTTTTGCACGATTACAATACTTTTTCTATACTTCGTATATACGAGAAAGTAAAAAAGGGCTCAGTGGTTATTATGGATGTTTAATAAGATGGAATTTCAGGGAGGGCAGACAGTTAGGAGAGAGGTGTAGGTAATTTCCCAGTCAGTTGAGGTATGTAGCGATACATGTACAAATCTCACAAAAAAGTCGAAGTTCATTTATAGGCTAATTCTCTCAATGGCTTGCCCGACACTGCGACAACGCAGTTAGTATTATTATTACGCATGGGCCTTATTCGACCCCCCTCCTCCCAATACTGAATGCCACTGTACTTTTAATTATTAATTTTAATTATTTCTAGAGTACAAAAGAATTTCTATTTCTATTTTCTTTTTAAAATTATCTATATAAAACAAATTAAAAAGTTTGAATTTTTCTTTACAGAGGGAAAGGGTCTCTGTGTGGCTTGGGCCCCTATGCCTTGTTTAAGCTAGGTTTACGGTAGCTAAGCCATTGGGGGGTGGGGGGGGGGTGGGGGGTGGGGGTGTTTAGAACATTGTCAAATTTCTACGTGACGTACGCAATACGGAGAGGTAAATATCTGTCACAAGTCTGGAAATATCTGTTATAGATCTGGAAAGGTGGTCCTATATAGATATATAGACACACCGATACAACAACATACACATCTACACAGACACCCACAGGAACACACTGCCGCAACAGACACACCCATACATTCACACACCCAGACACATCCCTAAACGACACACCAGATCCAAACACAGCAGATAAAGACGTTACGTCCCCATCAGATAAAGACGTTACGTCCCCCACAGATAAAGACATTACGTCCCCCACAGATAAAGACGTTACGTCCCCCACAGATAAAGACGTTACGTCCCCCACAGATAAAGACGTTACGTCCCCCACAGATAAAGACGTTACGTCCCCCACAGATAAAGACGTTACGTCCTCAGCAGATAAATACGTTACGTCCCCCAGCAGATAAAGACATTACGTCCCCCACAGATAAAGACGTTACGTCCCCCACAGATAAAGACGTTCGTCCCCAGCAGATAAAGACATTACGTCCCCCAGCAGATAAAAACGTTACGTCCCCAGCAGATAAAGACGTTACGTCCCCCACAGATAAAGACGTTAAGTCCCCCACAGATAAATACGTTACGTCCCCCAGCAGATAAAGACATTACGTCCCCCACAGATAAAGACGTTACGTCCCCCACAGATAAAAACGTTACGTCCCCCACAGATAAAGACATTACGTCCCCCACAGATAAAGACGTTACGTCCTCAGCAGATAAAGACGTTACGTCCCCAGCAGATAAAAACGTTACGTCCCCAGCAGATAAAGACGTTCCATCCCCAGCAGATAAAGACGTTACGTCCCCCACAGATAAAGACGTTACGTCCCCAGCAGATAAAAACGTTACGTCCCCTACAGATAAAGACGTTACGTCCCCCACAGATAAAGACGTTACGTCCCCAGCAGATAAAGACTTTACGTCCCCAGCAGATAAAGACGTTACGTCCCCAGCAGATAAAGACGTTAAGTCCCCCACAGATAAAGACGTCACGTCCCCACAGATAAAGACGTTACGTCCCCTATAGATAAAGACGTAAAGTTCCCCCACAGATAAAGACGTTACGTCCCCAGCAGATAAAGACGTAAAGTTCCCCCACAGAACATACAAAAAAATCCTGATGTCCTGTCTCTACCTACACCGCTGACGCCGTTCTCGCGATATCCACGCCTGGTTCGTCCTTATGTTGTGAGGACAATAGAGAAAATAGATGTGGGAGGGGGGAGGTAAATAGAGTTGGCTCGCGAGAAATACTCGTTTGGTCTTTGAGTCTACGTCAGTCACCCTTCAACCTTGTTGGGTGGTGGGGGAGGGGAGGCGCGGATACAATGCCAACTGACGCGGGACTTCATAACGCGAGGTTCTAGTCGTTCGGGAAGTTACGACGATTTTTTTCCTTCAGTTGATTCGGTCTGAGTTGCTTGAATATTGTCATCATAGCCAGGATTGTGATGTTTACAGTCGAGCGAGTCCCAGACTAAATTAAGGATTGGGATATTCACTGCTGCGTCCTCTTGATGTTGCTGTGGATTGTACACTACAATTTGACATTCAAGCAAATTTTTATGGAATTCAATTACCTTTGACTGCTGGAACATAATTGGTTCAGTCGTTAATTAATGACGATCAGCTGTCATGTGAGACAAGGTAGGTGAACTGTTCACTTTTTTAGAGCAATATGTGATGAGTTTAGGTTAATCATATCACAATACAGTGTATACACGCCTCATTCTATTGCCGTATACTTATTGAAGCAGTAGGGCTATGTTGTATTTTTATAGTAAGGAGTTTGCCTATGGTTAAACCTAAAGTGTATGTTCTATTTAAGGGGGAAGATTGTGTTTTATTTAGTGATGAGTTTGAGTTATATATAGTGATGAGTTTGTGTTATATATAGTGATGCGTTTATGTTATATATAGTGGTGCGTTTGTTATATTTATTAATGCTTTTCTTTTATTTGGTAAAGAGTTTGTGTTATATATAGTGATACGTTTGTTATATTTAGTGTTAAAGTTTGTGCGTATTTACTGCTGCTGGGGTTGATGTTATTGTTTGGGTAAGTCATGTTTTTGTAATTATTGTCCAAAATTATTTCGATATAGTTTGTCTTGAGGTCACTGAAAAAATGAATACTAAAATTTAATTTAAAAAAGAACAATGATTTAATCAACACAACCTGACCACCCCGTGGGCATACATTATACAGGTACTCAACTCGACATTCTTGCCAACTTCTATTTTCAAGCGCATTTTGTTGGTCAACGTTAAGTAAAATACTCAGTGTAAGACGAGTTTTACAAAGATTAAATAAATACAAAAGTTAAATATACAATGTGACAATGTTTACCATAGTAATGTAAAATTAAGGGTTGTAGGTTCTTTGACCACTAGTGATTTGACTATAGGGACTTTGACAATCGGGACTTTGACAATAGGGACTTTGACAATCGGGACTTTGACAATAGGGACATTGACCATAGGGACTTTGACAATCGGGACTTTGACAATAGGGACATTGACCATAGGGACTTTGACCATCGGGACATTGACCATAGTGACTTTGAAAATAGGGACTTTGACAATCGGGACTTTGACAATCGGGACATTGACCATAGGGACTTAGACAGTAGGGACTTAGTAGGGACTTTGACAATAGGGACTTTGACAATTGGGACTGACCACAACTGCATTTGACCGCAGGCAGTTTTTATAGTAATAACAATAATAAACTGTTATTTAATTTATAGTAATAACAATAATAAACTGTTATTTAATTTATAGTAATAATAATAATAAACTGTTATTTAATTTATAGTAATAACAATAATAAACTGTTATTTAATTTATAGTAATAACAATAATAAACTGTTATTTAATTTATAGTAATAATAATAATAAACTGTTATTTAATTTATAGTAATAACAATAATAAACTGTTATTTAATTTATAGTAATAACAATAATAAACTGTTATTTAATTTATAGTAATAATAATAATAAACTGTTATTTAATTTATAGTAATAACAATAATAAACTGTTATTTAATTTATAGTAATAACAATAATAAACTGTTATTTAATTTATAGTAATAATAATAATGAACTGTTATTTAATTTATAGTAATAACAATAATAAACTGTTATTTAATTTATAGTAATAACAATAATAAACTGTTATTTAATTTATAGTAATAACAATAATAAACTGTTATTTAATTTATAGTAATAACAATAATAAACTGTTATTTAATTTATAGTAATAACAATAATAAAATGTTAGTTAATTTAAATGAATTAGGCTGTTAATGAAATTTTATTTAATTTTCCTTTGAGTTTCCGTTAATAGAAATTACCCTGTTCTAAAAATGGTCAAAGCCACAAAGGTCCATAGATTTCCACAGTGTGTGATTAATCCAGGTGTTTAGTAGCGTCCATTAATTAGCAACATAGGCTTTAGGCTCCCCCCCCCCAGTCTACAAACGTCCTTTCTTAGATAACACCTCACCATGTAGATCTCACCCAAAATAAACCTTAAAACCTTATTTGATGTAGAAGTAAAATCTTGAATATGTTTAGAATACTTTTTTTTAAATATTTGAAAAGTAGATATAAATTTGTATGGCATCCAAAGACTGAAGTAATTATATATTTTTGTGTGAGTGACACAAAAAGTTTCAAAAGTATTATTTTCAGTCGGATAGCCGTACCCAGCAAAAAGTTTCAAAAGTATTATTTTCAGTCGGATAGCCGTACCCAGCAAAAAGTTTCAAAAGTATTATTTTCAGTCGGATAGCCGTACCCAGCAAAAAGTTTCAAAAGTATTATTTTCAGTCGGATAGCCGTACCCAGCAAAAAGTTTCAAAAGTATTATTTTCAGCCGATAGCCGTACCCAGCAAAAAGTTTCAAAAGTATTATTTTCAGCCGATAGCCGTACCCAGCAAAAAAGTTTCAAAAGTATTATTTTCAGTCGGATAGCCGTACCCAGCAAAAGTTTAAAAAGTATTATTTTCAGCCGATAGCCGTACCCAGCTATAAAATAACCAGAAAAGCCGTCTCTGGCCCATCACACGATCTTACATTTCCGTCTCCTGCCTGTCTAGCCCAGACTTGAAACGTTTAGGCTAAGTACCATCATGGCCTCTGTGGGACATTTGTCGGAAATTTGAAACTGTCGGGGGGTGGGGGTGAAACTGTGGGGGATGGGGGTGAAACTGTGGGGGATGGGGGTGAAACTGTCAGGGTGGGGGGTGAAACTGTGGGGGATGGGGGTGAAACTGTCAGTGGTGGGGGTGAAACTGTGGGGGATGGGGGTGAAACTGTCAGTGGTGGGGGTGAAACTGTGGGGGATGGGGGTGAAACTGTCAGTGGTGGGGGTGAAACTGTGGGGGATGGGGGTGAAACTGTGGGGGTGGGGGTGAAACTGTCGGGGGTGGGGTGAAACTGTGGGGGTGGGGGTAAAACTGTCGGGGGTGGGGGTGGCGACACATGAAAATGCTTCCCTGTAGAGATGACAGAAACAATGATGCCGTAATTCAATGACTCACTGCGGTTGGTTTATTAAACATGAGACATGCCATTACATGTGTACAATTTGTATGCAAGTTGGATGTTTTGTCTTTGTTGTTATAGCTTTAGACATATTGATGTTTAATTCAACATTTGGACCCGATTTGGTTCAATAGAACAAACTACAAGCCAGCAGTTGTTTGATTTTGGAGTTGTCTCTCCTAGGAGATTTAATGTCAATTCAGATATTACAATTTTCCCGAACAAAAGTCAGTAGGCCAAACTGTTTTGCTAGTTGTGTACTTATATGTATGTATCACATATGTATATATGTATCACATCTGCATTCCGCTACAATCACACAATGTGCCTACCATCACACCATAGCCGTATGTCCAACATTCCATCTTCATCAGGCTAATATATAAGTCAGGTTGTCTGACCCGTGTATCTAAGTCAGGTTGTCTGACCCGTGTATCTAAGTCAGGTTGTCTGACCCGTGTATCTAAGTCCTGGTTGTCTGACCCGTGTATCTAAGTCAGGTTGTCTGACCCGTGTATCTAAGTCTGGTTGTCTGACCCGTGTATCTAAGTCAGGGTTGTCTGACCCGTGTATCTAAGTCCTGGTGTAGAGCTACATACCGGATGTGTCAATACACCCACATACCCCCCACTCTGCGCGGGTTGGTACTGGGATGTAATTACAATTCTACATATCCTTCTTAATACCCCCGCATACGACTTGCATTGGCCGATGTAATTAGATATTCAAACAAACGGTATCTTTAAGCCGGGTAAGTGTAATTCAAAATGTCTGTTTTAATTAAACTTAAAAATTGAAAATTTCAATTTTTGGAATCCGGTTATATATATATATATGTTACGGTCAAAGCCCGAAGTCGGCCAATGCTAGGATTGGCCGGCCAATCCGCGCATTGGCCAATATCGCCTCCCATAGGTCGGTCAAAGTCCGAAACTTTGCTTCATTTCGGCCTTTGGCCGGCCAATCCGCAGACTGGCCATTGTGGACCGGCCAAAGTCTGAAATAGCTCTTGATTTCGGCCTTTGGCCGGCCAGTCCCGGCCAGTCCGCGGACTGGCCATGGTGGACCGGCCAAAGTCTTAATTAGAAGATCATGAGCAGATTTTTGTTTTTTTATGCCGGTAGGATCATGAAATTAAGTCTTTATTGATTATTAATTAAAGTAAATGACAGAAACATTCAAATTTTTTATTGTACTATAGTCTCAAACAATCAATATTATCATTTGTTACAACAAGTTGAACTTTTATGGCATTTAGAATTACATAGCAGCTTGTTATTTTTACACTTGCAGCGATTTGTTGTACACTTGGTTGTGCAATTGCAGCGAGTGTAGCCTTGGCCCCCAGTCAATGATTGTGAAGATGCGATGCTTCGTAGTGATTTTTCCTCGGTGCCAAATGACGACAATAAGAGCAGTTTTTCGTGAAGAATTGAAAACTCACTTCTAGCATACAGTTGTTTTAGAACACCATGTTCCGTTCCTAATTTGTAAAAACCGCCCTCGACGCTCATGACAACTGCAATCACGCTTCGGGGATCACCGCGACCTCTGTCAACATCTGGAACACGGATGCGTACATTGTCACCCACTTCACCATCTTTAAATTTTGTATTTGATGTTTTAAGCATCTTAGCACCTTGATTTTGCAAGCCAGTATGAGCTGCTGACCTGTGTTCCATGATGTCTTGTTTGTTGTGACAAAATCTGCAGGTAATGTTCCCTCCGTACCCTTCGTCTGCTTCATTGGGTACTCCACAAATAGCATGGGCATCTTTGCCACAGGATCCACAAGATTGAGCTGCACTACAATGTTTTTCACAAACTATGCAGAATCTGTTGGCCACATTATTGTCACGCAACTGGTCTGGACGTTCCGCCACGGCAGTAGATGTGTTAGCTGAGGATGTAGTTGCATTTATGGCAACCTTCATTTCTTGTTCAATGTTCTCAAGATCTTCCTCAGTAACTATTTTATTGAGAGCCTCTCTTGGTAGATTTGAAGTGCTAAGTCCCACTTTTGCTTTGCATCCAAACAAGGCTTCGTATGGTGATTGCTGGATTCCTTGATGAAAAGAACGATTTTTCATAAATTGAATGAATTTGAGACTCTCAATCCAATGAGCTGATTCATTTGTTTGCATCCATGTCATCATCATGTTTAGAACATCTTGGTTGGCACGTTCGACTGAACCTTGGCTTTGGCTATGCCTTGGTTTTCTGTGAACTAGTTTAAGTTCAGGCCACATGTTCTTTAGTTCAGAAATAACTTGATTCACAAATTCTCTTCCATTATCTGATTGAAGCACACTTGGGGCACCAATAGTCGTGAAGATATCCAGCAGCTGGTAAGCAACTTCTTCTGCTCTTTTGGTTTCCAAAGCTCGCAACAATATGAACTTGGTTAAATGATCCTGGTAACAGAGTATAAACTTGTATTTGCCGTCTGGGTTACTTTGCATATCAATAAGATCTACTTGGCATCTTGAGTTAAATTCTTTAAATATCAAAGGTTTGGAAACAAGACCTTTCTTGGGATTAGACAATTTTGTCTGACAAGGCTTGCACAACCGAAGATACATAGTAATGATTTCTTTGGTGATATTTTTGTACTTTCTCTTGAGCTCTTTTTCCATCCTTGTGCGACCTCCATGTCCGATTTTCAAGTGAGTTTCATTGATCAAGTCGAACAACTCTTCTGAGTGCTTGTAGTACAAAATAGCACCATTGTCTTCTGTTAGTGGTACAATAAGTTTTTCTTCACCGTCAACTTCAATAACATCATATTTGTTTAGTCGACGATAGTCAACAGTTTTTTTTTGTCTGCTTTGCTTTAGACTGTTTAACGTCCTCTATAATAGCAATGTATTTGTCTTTGCTGAGAATAAAGCTATTGTTTGGTTTTTCATGCAGTACTGTAGTCAAATGATCTAAAAACATAGTTTTCATGTCAAACGTTGGTTCGATATTTGCATTTTTTTCTTTTGACAGCCATTTGCTATGTCTGTCTCATGGTCTGACGGCCCTTTTGATCCATGTCGCCTTGCATATAGAATGCTATACAAACAAGAGCTAAACAATACGTTACTCACAATGAAACCGCACCCAGAATAATTAAAACGCGATCACAACTTAGTCTAGATACAACATTGGCCAGGACATCACGGCCAATGCGCGCATTGGCCGGCCAATGTACAAAATACGCTGTCAAGTTAAGTACTTCGGACTTTGGCCAGTACGTCCCGGCCAGTGCGCGCATTGGCCGGCCAATGTACGAAATACGATTTTAGTTCTAAGTTCTTCGGGCTTTGGCCAAGAGAGCCGGCCAATCCGCGCATTGGCCGGCCAATCCGGGGTTTGGCCGCACTTCGGGCTTTGACCGTAACATATATATATATATATATATATATATATATATATATATATATATATATATATATATATATATATGTTACGGTCAAAGCCCGAAGTCGGCCAATGCTAGGATTGGCCGGCCAATCCGCGCAATGGCCAATATCGCCTCCCATAGGTCGGTCAAAGTCCGAAACTTTGCTTGATTTCGGTCTTTGGCCAGCCAATCCGCAGACTGACCATGGTGGATCGGCCAAAGTCTGAAATAGCTCTTGATTTCGGCCTTTGGCCGGCTAGTCCGCGGACTGGCCATGGTGGACCGGCCAAAGTCTTAATTAGAAGATCATCTGGCTAGGGACGACCGGCCAAAGTCCGAATAAGAAGATCATGAGTAGATTTTTTTTTAGGCCGTAAGGATCATGAAATTAAGTCTTTATTGATTATTAATTAAAGTAAATGACAGGAACATTCAAATTTTTTATTATACTATAGTCTCAATCTATCAATATTATCATTTGTTACAACAAGTTGAACTTTTATGGCATTTAGAATTACATAGCAGCTTGTTTTTTTTTCACTTGCAGCGATTTGTTGTGCACTTAGTTGTGCAATTGCAGCGAGTGTAGTCTTGGCCCCCAGTCAATGATTGTGAAGATGCGATGGTTCGTAGGGATTTTTCCTCAGTGCCAACTGACGACAATAAGAGCAGTTTTTCGTGAAGAATTGAAAAATCACGTTTAGCATACAGTTGTTTCAGAACACCATGTTCCGTTCCTAATTTGTAGAAACCGCCCTCGACGCTCATGACAACTGCAATCACGCTTCGGGGATCACCGCGACCTCTGTCAACATCTGGAACACGGATGCGTACATTGTGACCCACATCAGCATCTTAAAATTATGTATTTGATGTTTTAAGCATCTTAGCACATTGAGTTTGCAAGCCAGTATGAGCTGCTGACCAGTGTTCCATGATGTCTTGTTTGTTGTGACATAATCTGCAGGTAATGTTCCCTCCGTACCCTTCGTCTGCTTCATTGGGTGTTCCACAAATAGCATGGACATCGTTGCCACAGGATCCAAAAGAGTGAGCTGCACTACAATGTTTTTCACAAACTATACAGAATCTGTTGGCCACATTATTGTCACGCAACTGGTCTGGGCGTTCCGCCACGGCAGTAGATGTGTTAGCTGAGGATGTCGTTGCATTTATGGCAACCTCCATTTCTTGTTCAATGTTCTCAAGATCTTCCTCAGTAACTATTTTATCGAGAGCCCATATATGGAAACTAACATGGATTTACATTTTTTTGACAGCCATCTGCTATGTCTGTCTCATGGTCTGACGGCCCTTTTGATCCATGTCGCCTTGCATATAGAATGCTATACAAACAAGAGCTAAACAATAAATTACTCTAAATGAAAACGCACCCAGAATAATGAAAATGCGATCACAACTTAGTCTAGATAGAACATTGGCCAGGACATACCGGCCAGTGCGCGCATTGGCCGGCCAATGTACAAAATACGCTGTCAAGTTTAAGCGCTTCGGACTTTGGCCAGTACGTCCCGGCCAGTGCGCGCATTGGCCGGCCAATGTACAAAATACGATCTTAGTGCTAAGTTCTTCGGGCTTTGGCCAAGAGAGCCGGCCAATCCGCGCATTGGCCGGCCAATCCGGGGTTTGGCCGCACTTCGGGCTTTGACCGTAACATATATATATATATATATATATATATATATATATATATATATATATATATATATATATATGTTACGGTCAAAGCCCGAAGTCGGCCAATGCTAGGATTGGCCGGCCAATCCGCGCAATGGCCAATATCGCCTCCCATAGGTCGGTCAAAGTCCGAAACTTTGCTTGATTTCGGTCTTTGGCCAGCCAATCCGCAGACTGACCATGGTGGATCGGCCAAAGTCTGAAATAGCTCTTGATTTCGGCCTTTGGCCGGCTAGTCCGCGGACTGGCCATGGTGGACCGGCCAAAGTCTTAATTAGAAGATCATCTGGCTAGGGACGACCGGCCAAAGTCCGAATAATAAGATCATGAGTAGATTTTTTTTTAGGCCGTAAGGATCATGAAATTAAGTCTTTATTGATTATTAATTAAAGTAAATGACAGGAACATTCAAATTTTTTATTATACTATAGTCTCAATCTATCAATATTATCATTTGTTACAACAAGTTGAACTTTTATGGCATTTAGAATTACATAGCAGCTTGTTTTTTTTTCACTTGCAGCGATTTGTTGTGCACTTAGTTGTGCAATTGCAGCGAGTGTAGTCTTGGCCCCCAGTCAATGATTGTGAAGATGCGATGGTTCGTAGGGATTTTTCCTCAGTGCCAACTGACGACAATAAGAGCAGTTTTTCGTGAAGAATTGAAAAATCACGTTTAGCATACAGTTGTTTCAGAACACCATGTTCCGTTCCTAATTTGTAGAAACCGCCCTCGACGCTCATGACAACTGCAATCACGCTTCGGGGATCACCGCGACCTCTGTCAACATCTGGAACACGGATGCGTACATTGTGACCCACATCAGCATCTTAAAATTATGTATTTGATGTTTTAAGCATCTTAGCACATTGAGTTTGCAAGCCAGTATGAGCTGCTGACCAGTGTTCCATGATGTCTTGTTTGTTGTGACACAATCTGCAGGTAATGTTCCCTCCGTACCCTTCGTCTGCTTCATTGGGTGTTCCACAAATAGCATGGACATCGTTGCCACAGGATCCAAAAGAGTGAGCTGCACTACAATGTTTTTCACAAACTATACAGAATCTGTTGGCCACATTATTGTCACGCAACTGGTCTGGGCGTTCCGCCACGGCAGTAGATGTGTTAGCTGAGGATGTCGTTGCATTTATGGCAACCTCCATTTCTTGTTCAATGTTCTCAAGATCTTCCTCAGTAACTATTTTATCGAGAGCCCATATATGGAAACTAACATGGATTTACATTTTTTTGACAGCCATCTGCTATGTCTGTCTCATGGTCTGACGGCCCTTTTGATCCATGTCGCCTTGCATATAGAATGCTATACAAACAAGAGCTAAACAATAAATTACTCTAAATGAAAACGCACCCAGAATAATGAAAATGCGATCACAACTTAGTCTAGATAGAACATTGGCCAGGACATACCGGCCAGTGCGCGCATTGGCCGGCCAATGTACAAAATACGCTGTCAAGTTTAAGCGCTTCGGACTTTGGCCAGTACGTCCCGGCCAGTGCGCGCATTGGCCGGCCAATGTACAAAATACGATCTTAGTGCTAAGTTCTTCGGGCTTTGGCCAAGAGAGCCGGCCAATGCGCGGATTGGCCGGCCAATCCGCGCTTTGGCCGCACTTCGGGCTTTGACCGTAACACACACACACACATATATATATATATATATATATATATATATATATATATATATATATATATATATATATATATATATATATATATATATACATACATTCGCTAGGCTAGTAATATTGGAGTTCACTGTGTGTTATTGGTGCCTTGCTCAGCCTGTTGTTGTGAGTGATTCAATAGGAAATGTTAGCGACACGAAGTAGTTTGGGCATACATCAAACCTTTTCTCAAGATGGAAGTCGACTCAAGAAAGGTCGGACTGGAAAAATTATATGAAATGCTTATTGTATTTAAACGTAAAGATTAACTTTTTTAGCAAAACGTTTACTACTATAATATATGTTAATAAATATGTTAATTGTAGTGCATTAAAAATATGTTATAACCAGTTTTTTAAAATTGCTTCTCGGAGTGGGTGAATCGCCTCAAGGGGTAACTCTTGACAAAACCCCTGAGGTATCTTTTGACAAAACCCCTGAGGTATCTCTTGACAAAACCCCTGAGGTATCTCTTGACAAAACCCCTGAGGTATCTCTTGACAAAACCCCTGAGGTATCTTTTGACAAAACCCCTGAGGTATCTTTTGACAAAACCCCTGAGGTATCTTTTGACAAAACCCCTGAGGTATCTTTTGACAAAACCCCTGAGGTATCTTTTGACAAAACCCCTGAGGTATCTTTTGACAAAACCCCTGAGGTATCTTTTGACAAAACCCCTGAGGTAACTCTTGACAAAACCTCTGAGGTAACTCTTGACAAAATACCTTCCATTCAAGACGAGAAACTGGGAGCAGCAAGAATCAACTAATTTTTATACCGCCACTTAAAATTTTGTAAAGATTTTTTTTTGTTTTTTCATGAAAATAGATTTCTGTAAACATCGTCTGTACTTGTTCATTTTTTTAAATTATGGGAGTTATGTTACTGAAAACCAGTGGCGTAGCTAGGATTTTTTGGCCCCTTTCCAAAACTATCGGTGGGCCCCTTTTGTCGGCCGTCAGGCTATAGTGGAGTAAATCGAACAAATTTAACTGCAACTTAATAGGGAGGATTTTATATAATATAAATATTCTTTATGCCTACATTTTATACGTCCTTATTGTGTATTTATACGATATTATTATGTAGTTTTGTAAAAATGTTAGTCTTACAGTTAATTTGTTTTTTAAGTAAACAAACAGAGTAGCGTCATAAGGCGATGCCAGAGGTGCGGTCCGCATCGGATGTCAACATTTACTGTTTAACTAAGTTGTATCCAGCCAAAATAATAAAAGATTAGTGTGACAAGTGTGACACCCTACCGAAAAAGCTAAATTGTTGGGGACGATGGGGGTGACACCTTTAGTAAACACGTAGTGTAACACCCGACTTTGTAACGCCACTAACCAAATAGAATTGTTTTTTTAATTGTTCATGATTTATTTAGATCTGTGGTTTTTTTCATGCTTTTAATTTTGTAAAATGTTTAATAAGTTCTATTGAGATTTACTTTAGCTGTGTCAGTACGTTCGATTGTTAATCTTAGGATGGACAAGCTACTGACCCAATGGGCATATCTACAAATAATGAGATTTAGAATTCCATCATAAACATCAAAATCTCCTACCCGATCAACGTAGAATGTTAAAGAATGCTTATACTAACTAGCGTACCCGTCCGCGTTGCAAAATAATTGGTAACAAAATAATTTGTAAGGGTTTCAGCAACGCGTTATCAATTGTGTATTTTTAGTCGTGTGACCTTGTTTTCTAAAACTGAGATAGTTAAAATGTAAACAACAACACTGCTATTTTTTCGGATCTTTGTTGCGGGGGCGCGGGTTGGTCCACACTATCGCTCAGACGCCCTTGGGCGTGCTGTGTAAAAGCATTGAGTGTAAGTTAATCATCTTCCTTTATAGTGAGGTTAAACAACTTTCGGCGACCACCTAGGTGTTAAAGTATTCGCGGGAGAGACTGGTTACACCACCGTAGGTAGCCAGATGCAACCTCTGGTTCTGTTTAGTCGTCGAATGTAGAGGCCCACCTTGTCCCTATTGTAGAATACTCGTGTGATTGGTGTCGGTAGCCGTCCCTGTTGCAGTTTGACCGCTGTATCAAGACTCTGCAGGACGCCCAATCAACGGACTTCGTGCACTCAGATATCCGCTGGGTAACTCGGGCGCCCAACAGTTACTACTGCTGATGCGCTGGAGGACACCCCTTGTTTTATTTAGTAATCGATTTTAGTATCCCGACGTATCTCTTGTGTATGGCACTCATTAAAACAAATATAGTCGCCGTAGTACTCATGAGGGAACCCATAGCGAACCGGGTTACACGACCGCCGAGGTGCCGCCAGCAATTTACCACTGAATTAAGAAGTAATTACCCGCTGCGCCAGACACCCAATCAACGGACCCCACATGCTTGGAAACTCTGGGTTGCAAACTGTGCCGCCTTACTGCCGGGGCGACGCCCTCAGAAATAAAATAAAAATTTATTGGCAGAATCCTTCCTAAAAGTCCGAGTTTCTTTCAAGCACATTTATCGAAAAAATATCTGGGAAAAACACTTCCTTTGGAATATTCTCAACGACTTCCCAAAGATCCTTGGCGATTGGATGAAAACCAAAAACTTATAGTGTTAGTAGCGCCATATTGATTAAAGATTAATTAGATCAACAAACGAATAAGTCATTAAGGTAAAGAACAACATTGACAAATGTTGGACTTAGCTGGTTGTGAAAACACTGTCTAGGTTTTTATTTTTAAATGTCTCAGTTGTTACCATGGATGTTTAGCAGGATTGAATTTCGTGGAGGGCAGACAGTTGGGCGGTGCAGGTCTGTGGGGTGGGGAATTGTCATTGTTTAACGTTTTTCAAGATTTATACATTCAATAATGCCAGCACTAGAAGAAAATAATTCAATAATAAAATAGTAGACATTTCAACGTGAGTGCGAACGTTGCTGAAATTATGTTCGGAATAATTCACATGTAAGCAACTGTGGGATTAAGATGGATAATAATATTTTTTATGTCGTCAAAGGCATTAATATATATATATATATATATATATATATATATATATATATATATATATATATATATATATATATATATATATATATATATATATATATATATATATATATATATATATATATATATATATATATATATATATAAATCTACCTTTCAACTCTATAAATCACATCTAATGCCACCAACACATACATTAACTACTCGGATCATAGCTTGAGTCTTACATGAAACATTTTCAAATTATCCAGAGGTTTTCTGAGTAGCAGTTTTTCTTGTGTCCAGAGGCGTCACAAGGGTGTGCAGGGGGGTGCGAACGATACCATTTAGGGAGCTGACACCAAAATGAAAAAAAAATGCTTTTCTTTCAAACTTTCAAAGAATAATTTATTTTAGCCATTTTCATTAATAACATACTATAGAGAAATGTACTATTATCAAACTAAGATTATAAGCGGGAAAGGGGGTGACACCAAGAGACAAATTGTTCATTTTACAGAAATAACAAAGCTTTTTTGTTTGAGTATTGGCAACATTTGAAATGGAGGGGGATGGGGTTGTTGAGGGTGACACCAACGCGAACTTATTCTTATTTTACGATGCCTATATAAATGTAAGTGACCGAATTAGTGTACATTTTAACTGATGATGCAAGTGGAGAACAAATTCTTATTACACTCTTTCTTTACATGCTGAACTTTGCATGTCGTGGCCACAATGAATCTTCATTCAGCAAAGGGAACCGTCTTGCCAAATACGACCCAGTGATAAAAGAACACTTAGAATAAACAAAAAAATTCGTGCACGCTAAAACATCTGTGTTTCACACCAAGCAGATAAATGCGTGTATTCTGTAGGCTACTTGCTAATCATGTCAGACACATAATTGTCACAGAGACTAAGGCTGCTAAATATTTTAGAATAATGTTTGACAGTACACACGACTGACAACACACCCGACTGACAACACACCCGACTGACAGCATACCTGACAACACACCCGACTGACAACACACCCGACTGTCAACACACCCGACTGTCAACACACCCGACTGACAACACACCCGACTGACAACACACCCGACTGACAGCACACTTGACAACACACCGAGAAAATGTCGGAAGTAACCAAATATGTTAAACTTCACAGCGGCAAACTTGAAGTAAAAGAAGTGTTTTTGAAAAATATTTTCCTTTGAAGGGAAAAATCGCTATGGACCTCAGCTAAGCTATTTTCAAAAGTCTGGAAAAAGATGGTCTTGACTTTATATTTTGTGGAGCCCAAGGCTACGACAATGCTGACACAAAATATCTCAGAAAAATATCTCAAAGCAAAATATCTCAGAAAAATATCTCAAAGCAAAATATCTCAGAAAAATATCTCAAAGCAAAATATCTCAGAAAAATATCTCAAAGCAAAATATCTCATAAAAATATCTCAAAGCAAAATATCTCAGAAAAATATCTCAAAGCAAAATATCTCAGACAATATATCTCACAGCAAAATATGTTAGACAAAATATCTCAGACAAAATATCTTAGACAAAATATCTCAAAGCAAAATATCTTAGACAAAATATCTCAAAGCAAAATATCTTAGACAAAATATCTCAGACAATATATCTCAAAGCAAAATATCTCAGACAATATATCTCAAAGCAAAATATCTCAGACAAAATATCTCACAGCAAAATATCTCAGACAAAATATCTCACAGCAAAATATCTTAGACAAAATATCTCAAAGCAAAATATGTCAGACAAAATATCTCACAGCAAAATATCTTAGACAAAATATCTCAAAGCAAAATATCTTAGACAAAATATCTCAGACAATATATCTCAAAGCAAAATATCTTAGACAAAATATCTCACAGCAAAATATCTTAGACAAAATATCTCAGACAATATATATCAAAGCAAAATATCTCAGACAATATATATCAAAGCAAAATATCTCAGACAAAATATCTCAGACAATATATATCAAAGCAAATATATCTCAGACAATATATATCAAAGCAAAATATCTCAGACAAAATATCTCAGACAATATATATCAAAGCAAAATATCTTAGACAAAATATCTCACAGCAAAATATCTTAGACAAAATATCTCAAAGCAAAATATCTCACAGCAAAATATCTCAAAGCAAAATATCTCACAGCAAAATATCTCAAAGCAACGTATCTTAGACAAAATATCTTAGACAAAATATCTCAGGAAAAATATCTTAGGCAAAATATCTCACAGCAAAATATCTCACAGCAAAATATCTCAGGCAAAATATCTTAGGCAACATATCTCACAGCAAAATATCTCAGGTAAAATATCTCACAGCAAAATATCTCACAGCAAAATATCTCACAACAAAATATCTCACAGCAAAATATCTCACAGCAAAATATCTCACAGCAAAATATCTCATGCAAAATATCTCAAAGCAAAATATCTCAGATGAAAAATCTCAGGCAAAATATCTCACAGCAACATATCTTAGACAAAATATCTTAGACAAAATATCTTATGCAAAATATCTTAGGCAAAATATCTCACAGCAAAATATTTCAGACAAAATATCTCACAGTAAAATATCTTAGGCAAAATATCTCAAAGCAAAATATCTCAGACAAAATATCTCAAAGCAAAATATCTCAGACAAAATATCTCACAGCAAAATATCTTAGACAAAATATCTCAAAGCAAAATATCTTAGACAAAATATCTCAGACAATATATCTCAAAGCAAAATATCTTAGACAAAATATCTCACAGCAAAATATCTTAGACAAAATATCTCAGACAATATATATCAAAGCAAAATATCTCAGACAATATATATCAAAGCAAAATATCTCAGACAAAATATCTCAGACAATATATATCAAAGCAAAATATCTCAGACAAAATATCTCAGACAATATATATCAAAGCAAAATATCTCAGACAAAATATCTCAGACAATATATATCAAAGCAAAATATCTTAGACAAAATATCGCACAGCAAAATATCTTAGACAAAATATCTCAAAGCAAAATATCTCACAGCAAAATATCTCAAAGCAAAATATCTCACAGCAAAATATCTCACAGCAAAATATCTCAGGCAAAATATCTTAGGCAGCATATCTCACAGCAAAATATCTCAGGTAAAATATCTCACAGCAAAATATCTCACAGCAAAATATCTCACAGCAAAATATCTCACAGCAAAATATCTCACAGCAAAATATCTCACAGCAAAATATCTCACAGCAAAATATCTCACAGCAAAATATCTCATGCAAAATATCTCAAAGCAAAATATCTCAGATGAAAAATATCAGGCAAAATATCTCACAGCAACATATCTTAGACAAAATATCTTAGACAAAATATCTTATGCAAAATATCTTAGGCAAAATATCTCACAGCAAAATATTTCAGACAAAATATCTCACAGTAAAATATCTTAGGCAAGATATCTCAAAGCAAAATATCTCAGACAAAATATCTCAAAGCAAAATATCTCAGACAAAATATCTCAAAGCAAAATATCTCAGACAAAATATCTCAAAGCAAAATATCTCAGACAAAATATCTCACAGCAAAATATCTTAGACAAAATATCTCAAAGCAAAATATCTCAGACAAAATATCTCACAGCAAAATATCTCAGACAAAATATCTCACAGCAAAATATCTTAGACAAAATATCTCAAAGCAAAATATCCTAGGCAAGATATCCCAAAACAAAATATCTCAGACAGTATCTTATAGCAAAATATTTATAGAATTGACGTTGATTTAAGCCGATTTAATAATTTTTAAATTGATTGTCTTATGGTTTTTATTTACATTTTTATATGATAATTGTGAGATATACTAAAATGAATAGGTTCAGCTTAACAAAGCTTCAAACTATTAGTTAAACTTAAATAGCATGTGATTTGAAATCATTAAAAATACAAAGTTACTCTTTTCATATGAAATATACAAGACAAACAAAAGTTGGCTATATCATTTTGTCGGTTAAAAAGTCCGTAATGTAAAACCAGTGTTTTTAGTGCATCATGAACACAAACGTACGGTAATGTTGCTTTTGCTGGCGTTTGTCTAGCGTAAGTCTGGCATCTTAAAAATGTTGATGTCTATCTGCGATGGAACGAAAGATGACATAGCTGGGTTATGACATCTAATGCTGTTATGCTTGCATGCACACTGGGAATAACTTTGTCCGCAATGACACAGTCATTTAAAAAAGCATTTGTCACGTGATCACCAGAGTGTGACCGAAAAAGTACGATTGACTGAAGATGTTATCTGTACTGTCCACGGAGAGCGGATGTCCTCTCCGTTAGGGCCTGTCTCCGTCATCAAAGCTTGGGACCACCTTACTACGTGTTTTCATAGCCCTTCCATAAAGTTTTCCTAGCCCTTCCATACAGTGTTTTCATAGCTCTTCCATAAAGTTTTCCTAGCCCTTCCATAAAGTTTTCCTAGCCCTTCCATACAGTGTTTTCATAGCTCTTCCATAAAGTTTTCCTAGCCCTTCCATAAAGTTTTCCTAGCCCTTCCATACAGTGTTTTCATAGCTCTTCCATAAAGTTTTCCTAGCCCTTCCATAAAGTGTTTTCATAGCTCTTCCATAAAGCTTTCCTAGCCCTTCCATAAAGTGTTTTCATAGCCCTTCCATAAAGTTTTCCTAGCCCTTCCATAAAGTTTTCATAGCCCTTCCATAAAGTGTTTTCATAGCTCTTCCATACAGTGTTTTCATAGCTCTTCCATAAAGTGTTTTCATAGCTCTTCCATAAAGTGTTTTCATAGCTCTTCCATAAAGTGTTTTCATAGTCCTTCCATAGTGTGTTTTCATAGGCCTTCCATACAGTGTTTTCCTAGCCCTTCCAAAGTGTTTTCATAGCTCTTCCATAAAGTTTTCATAGCCCTTCCATACAGTGTTTTCATAGCTCTTCCATAAATTGTTTTCATAGGCCTTCCATAAAGTGTTTTCATAGCTCTTTCATAAAGTTTTCCTAGCCCTTCCATAAAGTATTTTCATAACTCTTCCATAAAGTTTTCCTAGCCCTTCCATAAAGTGTTTTCATAGCTCTTCCATAAAGCTTTCCTAGCCCTTCGATTAAGTGTTTTCATAGCTCTTCCATAAAGTTTTCCTAGCCCTTCCATAAAATTTTGCCAGCCCTTCCATAAAGTGTTTTCATAGCTCTTCCATAAAGTTTTCCTAGCCCTTCCATAAAGTGTTTTCATAGCTCTTCCATACAGTGTTTTCATAGCTCTTCCATAAAGTGTTTTCATAGCTCTTCCATAAAGTGTTTTCATAGTCCTTCCATAGTGTGTTTTCATAGGCCTTCCATAAAATGTTTTCATAGTCCTTCCATAAAGTGTTTTCATAGCCCTTCCATAAATTGTTTTCATAGGCCTTCCATAAAGTGTTTTCAAAGCTCTTTCATACAGTTTTCCTAGCCCTTCCATAAAGTATTTTCATAACTCTTCCATAAAGTTTTCCTAGCCCTTCCATAAAGTGTTTTCATAGGCCTTCCATAAAGTTTTCCTAGCCCTTCCATAAAGTGTTTTCATAGCTCTTCCATAAAGTTTTCCTAGCCCTTCGATTAAGTGTTTTCATAGCTCTTCCATAAAGTTTTCCTAGCCCTTCCATAAAATTTTGCCAGCCCTTCCATAAAGTGTTTTCATAGCTCTTCCATAAAGTGTTTTCATAGCCCTTCCATAAAGATTTCCTAGCCCTTCCATAAAGTGTTTTCATAGCCCTTCCATAAAGTGTTTTCATAGCCCTTCCATAAAGATTTCCTAGCCCTTCCATAAAGTGTTTTCATAGCTCTTCCATAAAGTGTTTTCATAGCCCTTCCATAAAGTGTTTTCATAGCTCTTCCATACAGTGTTTTCATAGCCCCTCCAAAGAGTTTTTATAGCCCTTCCATAAAGTGTTTTCTTAGCCCTTCCATGAATTTTTTGTCATATCCCTTCCATAAAGTGTTTTCTTAGCCCTTCCATGAAGTGTTTTCATAGCCCTTCCATTAAGTTATTTCATAGCCCTTCCATAAAATGTTTTCATAACCCTTCAATCCATAGATGAGATTCCCTTTTTTTCTAGTTTCAGTTTGGCTGTAGCTGTTGTTAGATTGTGTACAGTATGGCTGTAGCTTTTGTTAGATGGCTGCTGTTGGTCCATAATCTAAATACATATGTATAAACTAAAGTATTTCAAAGATACGACTTAATATTTTTTCTAAATAAATTTTCCTATGTTAAATATTAATCAGATTCGTCAGCTACCTTTGTTGCCGACCTACGTGTCTCCCCGACGCTTACAACAGCACAATAAAATGAAATAACTGCACGACCGCAGATAATGAACGCCGTGTGTCACTAGTTGGGCCTTCACTCGTTGTTAAGATGGTTCCCGGGTGTAGGAAATATTTCATTACATTTTTAATAGTGGGATCTTTTCAAAGGGGCTTGAGTATGGCTTTTACAGAATATAATGATGTCTTGTGACTCGTGGGGAACAGGGGCTGTCACAGTTAGAACAGGGGCTGTCACAGTTAGAACAGGGGCTGTCACAGTTAGAACAGGGGCTGTCACAGTTAGAACAGGGGCTGTCACAGTTAGAACAGGAGCTGTCACAGTTAGAACAGGGTCTGTCACAGTTAGAACAGGGGCTGTCACAGTTAGAACAGGGGCTGTCACAGTTAGAACAGGGACTGTCACAGTTAGAACAGGAGCTGTCACAGTTAGAACAGGGGCTGTCACAGTTAGAACAGGGGCTGTCACAGTTAGAACAGGGGCTGTCACAGTTAGAACAGGAGCTGTCACAGTTAGAACAGGGTCTGTCACAGTTAGAACAGGGGCTGTCACAGTTAGAACAGGGGCTGTCACAGTTAGAACAGGGACTGTCACAGTTAGAACAGGAGCTGTCACAGTTAGAATAGGGACTGTCATAGTTAGAACAGGGGCTGTCACATAGGTGAAAAGTCCTTATAATACTGTACTGCAAATAGTGCAATATAAATTTATAAAATTCTTACGATTTATAATAGAAAACAGCGTAAAGTACCAGTGGCGGAACTAGAAAAAAAGGGCCAACCCGCAAATTTTTTTTAGCCCCCCCCCCCATATATATATATATATATATATATATATATATATATATATATATATATATATATATATATATATATATATATATAAAATCACAAAATACGAACATAGGATACTCATTGCTGGCCTGTCCGGGATTTGTAAAAGCATCAATTAAAAAAATTTCAACATCATGTCATGTGTGTAGAAATCTAAGTACTTTAGTGTGTTTTGTGAAAATTAGTTTTAATTAATTTCTGATAGAAGCCCTCTTAACAACTAGTTGGTCAAATTCATATAAAACATGAAAGCTTTGTATAAGTAATGGTGTCCCGTGTTATGTTTACTTTATTTTTTTTTATTTATATTATTAATTTTTAAAAATATTATTGATTTAATACATTTCCTTTTTATACAATATTATTCTTTTGTAATAACTTATAAAAAAATAATAATTAAGAGAAATAATAGCTTTTTAATTTGTTTAGTACAAATCTATTAAAAGGAGCTTATGATCACCCCTATTTGACTATTTATTTAAAAAAGGGAAATAAGTCATGGAAGTGGTTTGAACATTTGCTTACCCTTGATAAGTTTAATTGTAGGAGAAAGACTCGGCTTTCACGGTGGTTTAAAAACAAAGGAAAAAAGAATATACAAGAGCCTGGGGTGGTATCTATAAAATAAAGATAATCCAACCGCAGCTACGGTAATTGTTTACAAAACAACCATCAAGGGAAAAATGAAAGAAAATTTACTTTTTTTTTTAACTATAAAAAAATTATTATGGTCGGCTCTGGGCCCCTTAAAGGATTGCCCCCCCCCCCCCCCCCCGCATTGCGGGGTCTGGTGGCACTGTAGTTCCGCCCCTGTAAAGTACCACTTCCGGTCACCGGAGATGACTTAAATTTTTTAAATTTCAGTCTACCTAACTGAAACGCTACTCACGTTATCGGTATTTTAGAAACCAGAAATAAAGTATCGTTTTCGAATACCGGAGTTTACTCAATGGACTTTAGTAGTGTCTTACATTTATAGATACTTTTTGCTATTTATTTTCGGCGATAAAGAACGAATAGCACTTGATTGGCGACATATGTTCTCTGTCTATTTAGTTGACACATTCCATAAATGTTTGTTCCATTTATTTGTTCTCTTATTTTTGTTTACTGTGTGTCTTTGCGATCTTACCGTTTGAAAAATCTAGATTGGATGAGTATTTAACTTCCCTGAATGTTTGAAGGTGGTTTAAGTCCCCTGTTCACAAAACTTTATTCTGGTGAGGAGGTGGGGAAGTGTCTGTTAAGCCATGGATCTTTCAACTTCGTGTTGCAAGTTAAGAATGTCGTCTCATGTTGCCTAATGACTGTTGTCATGAGCTTATAAAACAATTACGGTTGAACATTTTTATCTTTGCGTGTGAAGGTTGTAGAAAAGAATTTGACGAAAGTTGAACAATGGCTTGTCTGGGGTTCCGTCACCTCTCAGGGACGTTACATACATAAGTGGTAGAAACTTAGTTAGGTTTAGACACTAAGTTAGGTTTAGAAACTTAGTTAGGTTTAGAAACTTAGTTAGGTTTAGAAACTTAGTTAGGTTTAGAAACTTAGCTAGGTTTAGAAACTTAGTTAGGTTTAGAAACTTAGTTAGGTTTAGAAACTTAGTTAGGTTTAGAAACTTAGTTAGGTTTAGAAACTTAGTTAGGTTTAGAAACTTAGTTTTTTGATTAGCTTGTTTGGTGGGGAGAAGGGTAGTTTTGGGTGGGGTGTGTGGGTAAGTAGAGTGCCGTTTTGGGTGGGATGGAAAGTGTGGTTAAGTAAAGTGCCATGTTGTGTGGGTGTGTGGGATAAAGTGCCGTGTTGTGTGGGTGTGTGGGATAAAGTGCCGTGTTGTGTGGGTGTGTGGGATAAAGTGCCGTGTTGTGTGTGTGTGTGGGATAAAGTGCCATGTTGTGTGGGTGTGTGGGATAAAGTGCCGTGTTGTGTGTGTGTGTGGGATAAAGTGCCATGTTGTGTGGGTGTGTGGGATAAAGTGCCATGTTGTGTGGGTGTGTGGGATAAAGTGCCATGTTGTGTGTGTGTGTGGGATAAAGTGCCATGTTGTGTGTGTGTGTGGGATAAAGTGCCATGTTGTGTGTGTGTGTGGGATAAAGTGCCGTGTTGTGTGGGTGTGTGGGATAAAGTGCCATGTTGTGTGGGTGTGTGGGATAAAGTGCCATGTTGTGTGTGTGTGTGGGATAAAGTGCCATGTTGTGTGTGTGTGTGGGATAAAGTGCCATGTTGTGTGGGTGTGTGGGATAAAGTTCCATGTTGTGTGGGTGTGTGGGATAAAGTGCCATGTTGTGTGTGTGTGTGGGATAAAGTGCCATGTTGTGTGGGTGTGTGGGATAAAGTGCCATGTTGTGTGGGTGTGTGGGATAAAGTGCCATGTTGTGTGGGTGTGTGGGATAAAGTGCCATGTTGTGTGGGTGTGTGGGATAAAGTGCCATGTTGTGTGTGTGTGGGATAAAGTGCCATGTTGTGTGTGTGTGGGATAAAGTGCCGTGTTGTGTGGGTGTGTGGGATAAAGTGCCATGTTGTGTGTGTGTGTGGGATAAAGTGCCATGTTGTGTGGGTGTGTGGGATAAAGTGTCATGTTGTGTGTGTGTGTGGGATAAAGTGCCATGTTGTGTGTGTGTGTGGGATAAAGTGCCATGTTGTGTGTGTGTGTGGGATAAAGTGCCATGTTGTGTGTGTGTGTGGGATAAAGTGCCATGTTGTGTGTGTGTGTGGGATAAAGTGCCATGTTGTGTGTGTGTGTGGGATAAAGTGCCATGTTGTGTGTGTGTGGGATAAAGTGCCATGTTGTGTGGGTGTGTGGGATAAAGTGCCATGTTGTGTGTGTGTGTGGGATAAAGTGCCATGTTGTGTGTGTGTGTGGGATAAAGTGCCATGTTGTGTGTGTGTGTGGGATAAAGTGCCATGTTGTGTGTGTGTGTGGGATAAAGTGCCATGTTGTGTGTGTGTGTGGGATAAAGTGCCATGTTGTGTGGGTGTGTGGGATAAAGTGCCGTGTTGTGTGGGTGTGTGGGATAAAGTGCCGTGTTGTGTGGGTGTGTGGGATAAAGTTCCATGTTGTGTGGGTGTGTGGGATAAAGTGCCATGTTGTGTGGGTGTGTGGGATAAAGTGCCATGTTGTGTGTGTGTGTGGGATAAAGTGCCATGTTGTGTGTGTGTGGGATAAAGTTCCATGTTGTGTGGGTGTGTGGGATAAAGTGCCATGTTGTGTGTGTGTGTGGGATAAAGTGCCATGTTGTGTGTGTGTGTGGGATAAAGTGCCATGTTGTGTGGGTGTGTGGGATAAAGTGCCATGTTGTGTGTGTGTGTGGGATAAAGTGCCATGTTGTGTGGGTGTGTGGGATAAAGTTCCATGTTGTGTGGGTGTGTGGGAAAAAGTGCCATGTTGTGTGTGTGTGTGGGATAAAGTGCCATGTTGTGTGTGTGTGTGGGATAAAGTGCCATGTTGTGTGGGTGTGGGATAAAGTGCCATGTTGTGTGTGTGTGTGGGATAAAGTGCCATATTGTGTGTGTGTGGGATAAAGTGCCATGTTGTGTGTGTGTGTGGGATAAAGTGCCATGTTGTGTGGGTGTGTGGGATAAAGTGCCATGTTGTGTGTGTGTGTGGGATAAAGTGCCATGTTGTGTGTGTGTGTGGGATAAAGTGCCATGTTGTGTGGGTGTGGGATAAAGTGCCATGTTGTGTGTGTGTGTGGGATAAAGTGCCATATTGTGTGTGTGTGGGATAAAGTGCCATGTTGTGTGTGTGTGTGGGATAAAGTGCCATGTTGTGTGGGTGTGTGGGATAAAGTGCCATGTTGTGTGTGTGTGTGGGATAAAGTGCCATGTTGTGTGTGTGTGTGGGATAAAGTGCCATGTTGTGTGGGTGTGGGATAAAGTGCCATGTTGTGTGTGTGTGTGGGATAAAGTGCCATGTTGTGTGTGTGTGTGGGATAAAGTGCCATGTTGTGTGGGTGTGTGGGATAAAGTGCCGTGTTGTTTGGGTGTGTGGGATAAAGTGCCATGTTGTGTGTGTGTGTGGGATAAAGTGCCATGTTGTGTGGGTGTGTGGGATAAAGTGCCATGTTGTGTGTGTGTGTGGGATAAAGTGCCATGTTGTGTATTAAAACATATTTTTTCCAGACAACTAAAAGAAATAATCCCCAAAACGCTCACCCAACAAATGTTCACTGAACTAGACAAATTAAGATTACTTTGTTACGAGTAAGAATTACGTAATTGATTCGGTTGAATATTAAATATGCTTTCGGTTAGTTTCCAATGTCTGTTTTTGTGTCTTTCCTAATAAATCATGTCATTGTTTTTACCCACTTCTGATGCAGCGATTTCCATTATTTTACGTACCCGAAGACGACACAATAATATCTAATTTTTAATCAAATTAGATATTAATTTAGTCATTAAAAATACATTAAAACATTACTAAACTCGAAAATAAAAGGAGTAAAAACAAGATTAAGGTCTAGCGCTGAACAGCTGAGAACTATTCTCACGCTTCAGTCAACGACGAATTTTAAGGACCGAAATTTGTCGTTTGAAGTTTTGATCGCCAACTGCTGTGGGGATTTAAAGATTTTTTAGTCCTAAAGTACTAAGTGCTTTAAAAAATTCAAGATCGATTTTAAATTTTAAATTTTAAATGTTTTATTATTCATGATTACTAAAATATAGTAAACAACACAAACAGATGCAGTTTTAAATGTATTGAGATAATAAATTGAAACAAACTTACTTTCTTTAGTAAAATCATTGGTGCCTCGTGAAATTCATTAAGTATTTTAGCGACCAATGGTTCTACGAAGGAAAGCAATTTCGGGTTTATTTTCATATTTTTAGTACATTTAAAAGCAATTTAAAGTGATAATAAAACGATATGTTAGATACTGAAACGCCGACAACTGCGATCAAACAATCATCTGTGTCGCCAGTTTAAAAAAAAAATCTTTTTTATCTCTCGATCACCGACACTAGGTGAACAGTTCCGCCTTGCCGGGTATTCTAACATAGTAGATACGGAGATGGACGGAGATAGACGGAGATGGACGGAGATAGACGAGCTAGACACACCCTGTCAGACAGTACAGGGCGGATTTAGTTTCAGATTTCCGGGGAGATTGTTGGAAATCTTCCGGTGTCCGTTTAAATGTGTTGAAAAGATCCGTAATGTTAGTCTCATCTAGCGGCGTCGCTAGGTCGGGTGTCACCCAGTGCGGCACCTCATGGTGTCGCCCCCTCCCCCAAACATAGTTGCTAAAGATGACACACCGCTCTGATTTAGCCAAAGCCCATTATTTTAATCCAATCCACCAATAATTCAAGCGCGAAAAGCACCCATCATATAGCAAATTATTAGATATGATGTCAACTTATGTCCCTTATGGTGTTATTTATACAGCTGGTATCACCCCCCCCCCCAGCCGTAACCCAATATGAAGACATTCCCGCCCCGCCTAGAGATGTGCAGGCTAGGGGAAGTACCTTTGTTTTTTCTTGAACCTCTCACTGCAGTCATCAGTACCAAACATACGGATGACGTCATAACAGTGTCACTCTTTGCGGTCCGCAGCCCCCCCCCCCCCCCCCCGCCTCACGACGCCACTGGTCTCACACGTTTGGGTTGTATTTTTTCAATGATAATAAAACTTTGAAAAATGACACAAAAGATACATACAATATTTTTCACTAAACCGGGAGTGATCTCCCCTTAACTTTCTCGGGGGATGGCAACTGGGGGATATAGACAATATTTTAAATCCATCATTTATCACTTAATCTTTTTAAAATAGAATAGAATCTAGTAGAAAAAAGAATTGCACACCAAGTGAACGCCAAATAAAATGTGCATAATAGTGTGGAATATTATTAGTACTTTATAAATTCACATGGGTTTTTTGAGAAATCGGAAGAATCGTAAATTACTACTTCCGGTCAACGAAAATCACTCAAAATTCGACAGAAGGCAGGTAATTAGATGTTTTACTTACATGTGAAATTTTATTTATCTAGCTGAAACAGTACTCAAGTTATAGGCTTTTGAAAAATTGAAAGTAGAATAAGTTCCACTTTCGGTTATCGGAATTCGCTGAAAAGATGTTAAAGAACTACATATTCGATATAATACTTATATATAAAATTTCATCAACCTATCTATAACGGTACTCAAGTTATCGTGTTTACAGTCACACACAGTGGCGTAGCGAGGTCGGGTGTCACCCGGTGCGGCACTTAATGGTGTCACCCCCCCAGAGGCATAGAGACCCTTCCCAGGGACAAACTTTCAAATTTTTCGATTTGCACCCCCCCCGCTCAAACTTTCGATTTGCACCCCTCCTCAAGTTTTCAATTTGCACCCCCCCCCCCCTCAAACTTTCGATCTGCACCCTCCTCGAGTTTTTCTCTATATATTTTGCTATTTTTTGCCTTGGTGTCACCCCCTTAAATGGTGTCACCCGGTGCGGTCCGCACCCCCCCCCCCCTCTTCGCATACCGATAAACTTTCAAAACTATGTGTTTCCGACTCAGGGAGGTATAAAACGTCGAGATCTGTGAAAAATCTCGAATTTTTTTTTTGCACGATTACAATACTTCCACTATACTTCTTATACGAGAAAGTTAAAAAAAAGTTCTCTAAATGGTAACCAGGATATGACAAGGCATTATTACAACCATCTACCTTTAGGGGATGACATTATAATAAGGATATAACAAGCAAATTAAAACTTTGACATCATACTCCGGTCATGGCTAGTGTTCGTACAAGAAGCGAAAAAGCCATGTTTGTTGGGAAATTTGAAAATGAAAATGAAAACCTTTATACTTTCTCGATACGTTGTATGGAGGAAATAATGTAATCGTGCAAAAACAAACAAACAACGAAATTGATATTTTGACAAAACTCGACGTTTCACACCCCACTGAATTTTCTTTCAAATTTTGAGTGATTTTCGGTTACTGGAACTTGTACTTTATGCTTTCCGATTTCCTAAAAAACGAATACCAATTTATTTTTACTTTATTCCTCTGTTTATCGTCCTTAATGGCCGGAAACCTACGAGCAAAATTTCGAACACTTCTACCGAACCTATTTATTTCAAGTAGGTCATGACTCGAAGACAATGTATTATGACACAAAATGTTACTTAATTAGTTGATCAATTAACTATTTGAAAACTAATCAAGGTTTTCTTTTTTAAGTACTAATGTTCCACATTACTATACTTATATTGTTTGCTGTTCATTTGGTGCGCAATTAAAAGTTTTAAGTTTGAAAATTTAAGTAGCCTATTTAAAAATTGATTTTTAAAGAACGTCTATATCCCGATTGCACTTGAGTTCCATCCTCATTAGTGTTATCTATGAATATTCGAGAAACTTTAGGGGAGGCCACTCCCGCTTTATTGCTTTCTCGTATACGAAGTATTGTAATCGTAATAAAAACAACGTAATCGAAATATTGAAAAATCTCGACGTTTCACGCTACTAAATTAATTAATTCTTCTTCTCTACACAGCCTATTATATTATTAAAATAATAAAAAAATACAAGAAAAACAAAACAAAAAATTGAGTGTACATGCTCTTTGCCATACATATTTGTCATATTAGATTAAAAATAAATCAGTCTTTGTCATTATGAATTTAAAATAATTTCTTGGTAATTTATAATTCGAAGCAATTTTTTTGTCATTTTAAATTAGAAATATTTTTTTGTCGTTTTAAACTATAATTTAATTTTGTAATTTGTAATTACAAATCAATTTTTGTCGTTTTAAATAACAACTGAATTTTGATCTTTATAAATTACCTCCGCTAACATGAAACTTTTTTCCATAGATACTAGACATCAGTTATCAGGAATTATATCCAGAACTAAGATCATCTTCAAATTTTGAAGTACGATTTCAAGACGATGGCTATCGGTGATGTGAAAATCTCTAGCGCTTTAATCGCTGCACTCTTTTTGTCTTTAAGTCTTGGATACGTACACTGTCAAGGTAAGCGTAAGCACTTTATTTGTCGGCGTTAGGCCCCACCCTCTAATAGATTTGGCTCTCCCCCACCTTGCCCTCACATTCTGGCCACACTGCACAAACGCTACAACGTGCACGCCCTGGACAAACCCCCGTCTCAACAACTGTGATCCAAGAAATATAGCGCCTGCTTTGTTTACACTGGAATAACGCAGCTGTAGAAAACAAGCTCACGTTTTTTAATATATAGGATTGTAGTACCACGTACACCCCCCTGGCTCGGTTTCATCATCGAATGTCGTGTGCCACCCTGTCAATATTGTAGGGTGCTCTTTAAAACGATCGAATGAAAGGTGTAGTAGTGCATATATATATATATATATATATATATATATATATATATATATATATATATATATATATATATATATATATCACTTGTTCATTAACTTCAGCTGATTGCACCATGCTTGTTCACAAAAGTCAAGGAATACAAGTACCAGATTATGCAAATTTAGAAATCGGCTACAACACTCAGGTATGTTTTGTGCGGATGTAATTACTTCAATCAATTCGCGTTGGATAGTATAGTTTGTGATTGAACCCGATAATCACAAGTTTAAATCACGGTCTTTGAAGGTCATTGAAACAGAAGGACTCTACTTCGGCTGGCCCAATCGTATTGGACACGAAAGAAAAAAGATATAATGAAGTTCTTAACGAGATTTGCTTCGTTTAATAAAACAAATATATAAAAGGTTTATAATAAATAGTGTTAGGGGTCAGTTGTAGGCAGGGCCAGCGCTACCTATAAGACGAACTAGGCGGTCGCCTTGGGCGCTGTCCATACCGGGGTGCCAAAATGGGCTGGAAAAACAAGTTTGAGGGGGGGGGGGGTGCAAATCGAAAGTTTGTCCCCGGGCGCCGGGAAGGGTCGCTACGCCTCTGATAATACGGGGGCACGAAAAGAATTGCGGGGGGGGGGGGAGAGGGCGCTTTTAATAAGTTTTGCCTAGGGCGCTAAATAACCTGGCGCCGGCACTGGGTGTAGGATAGATTAGAATAGGTTAGAATATTCCAGAACGTAGTGGAGGGTTGTGTGTGTGAGTTGAGTTAACCCCAGGGTGTTTAGGTATTGTTATCCCAAGGTCGAGTGCGGGTATAAAAGCTGGAGTGACAGATTGTGGAATGGCTTGATTGTAGCGGCATTGGTCGAGGGCTACAGTGTGATGGTGAACATGAGAAGTTAAAAAAGGATTGAACTATCCCTTGACTCGTTGAATAACAGATCGTAACAATGAGATTTTAATGCACTGTAAATGCTACAAAATAGTAAAACATATTTGCTTTCTTTAATAAAAGCACTGTTCGCTCATAACATTCTTAACTCATTTTAGCTCTAAAATAATCTTGTTATAGTGGATGTAAGTAAATGATCTGATATGCAGCAGTGAATGGGTTCATATATTAAACACTCCCCGCTATGAGTTCTTTGAATTAGTACCGTATTTTCGTGTTTTTGTTTAATTGTGTTTCCGTTTGATATGCATACTAGCCGTCGGTACCCGTTACACGTGAATTATAGGCCTATATATTTTTAATGTTACAAGTTATTGAGAAGAATATTTTATAAAATAGTTATTGGTCAAAACACAATGTGCTTTACTACACGTTGAACAATATTACTGACCATGCAAAGAAATAACTAAATAGCTAAAAATCCGACACATTTAAAATAATATAGACTACTAATACCTATTAGAAAAAATAAAACCAAATCATATACATTGTTAGTCAACACAAAACCATATGAAATACACTCACTGACTTAAATGATTGCGTTAAAAACCCGGCTTTTCAATGGTATTTATGTTGTTTTTTAAAGTAATTTGTATTAGTTTTGGCGGAGGAAATTGTATCAATTTAAAAAATTGCATCTCGATAAGTAGATCTATAGATCTAAATAAAATTTTAATGAAATAGTTTGTTTTCTCATATTCTAAAATTGGCAGATGACGCCATTGGTTTTGTGTACTTTCCGTACTTCAAACATATAACATATGACGTCATTGATTTCGGCGTTTTTGTAACAATTATAAACGCTTTTCCGGTTGCATAATAAAAAGTGTGTTTCTATTTTCGAATACGCCTTTATTTTTATTTTCCTTCTTTAAATAAAATTTAGTTTATACTTTTAAAACATCTACCATATTATTTTCAACAAAAGTCTGTATCAAGTTGTCCATATATCGCTGAGGATACTGATTTCATATCATGTGAAAATATTTTGCAGACAGAGAGAGAGAGAGAGAGAAAAAGAGAGAGAGAGAGAAGTGCGCGCATGGGCTTTTATATATTTGGGTATAAGACTGTGGTGTAAAATATTGGGTCGGTTTGTTTACCGCAAGATGTCGCACACATATTACTGTTGTAAAGTATTGCACTGTGTAGATAGCGTATTAAACGTATTAAACATTTGAAGTTGTTCAATAATGTTAACTTTACTATAGTAGCATCTATCCACCACAAGGAAATCTTTCCTCTATCGACGAAAATGAATATTTTACAGGATGATTGTTTCGAGTTCTGCAGGACTAAGAGCGACTGTCTTATGGCAGGATTTGCTGACGAAGAATGCCACTGGGACTCTGTGCTACATGTCTTAGACAACGACCCAACTTACCTTTCGGCAACCAAAACATGCCCTAGTAGTAAGTGCTAGCTGCTACCTTTGATTGTATGAGATGCAGATAGACATACAGTGTTATAAGAAATATTGTTATTTTATTAGCATTTGAGATGCACATACATGTTTATGTGGTCAAGTAAAAGTATAAAATACATACTGTTGGAAATTTCTGTTTATGTGGTGTGTTTGTGTGTGAGGTTGAGTGTGTATCTGTCGTTGTGTGTACGTGGGAGAGAGGTCAAGATAGATTAAAAGAGTTATATGAAACACACATGAAATATCCTTGTTGGTGTGGCCGAAATTGGTATGTAAATATGTGTGTTTTTGCTATGTGTGTGTGTGGTATGTATGTATATCTCAAAGTTCCCGTCCCCCAACCCCACCTACCACACCCGTCCCCCAACCTCAACTACCACACCCGTCCCCCAACCCCACCTACCACGCCCGTCCCCCCCCAGCTTCCACACCCGTCCCCCAACCCCACCTACCACACCCGTCTCCCCACCTACCACACCCGTCCCCCAACCCCACCTACCACACCCGTCCCCCAACCCCACCTTCCACACCCGTCCCTCAACCCCACCTACCACCCCAACCCCACCTACCACACCCGTCCCCAACCCCACCTACCACACCCGTCCCCAACCCCACCTACCACACCCGTCCCCCAACCCCACCTACCACACCCGTCCCCAACCCCACCTACCACACCCGTCCCCCAACCCCACCTACCACACCCGTCCCCCCCAGCTTCCACACCCGTCCCCCAACCCCACCTACCACACCCGTCCCCCCAGCTTCCACACCCGTCCCCAACCCCACCTACCACACCCGTCTCCCCACCTACCACACGTGTCCCCCAACCCCACCTACCACACCCGTCCCCCCCCAGCTTCCACACCCGTCCCCCAACCCCACCTACCACACCCGTCCCCCCAGCTTCCACACCCGTCCCCAACCCCACCTACCACACCCGTCTCCCCACCTACCACACGTGTCCCCCAACCCCACCTACCAAACCCGTCCCCCAACCCCACCTACCACACCCGTCCCCCAACCCCACCTTCCACACCCGTCCCCCAACCCCACCTACCACCCCCAACCCCACCTACCACCCCCAACCCCACCTACCAAACCCGTCCCCCAACCCCACCTACCACACCCGTCCCCCAACCCCACCTACCACCCCCAACCCCACCTACCACACCCGTCCCCCAACCCCACCTACCACACCCGTCCCCCAACCCCACCTACCACACCCGTCCCCCAACCCCACCTACCACCCCCAACCCCACCTACCACACCCGTCCCCCAACCCCACCTACCACACCCGTCCTCCAACCCCACCTACCACACCCGTCCCTCAACCCCACCTACCACCCCAACCCCACCTACCACACCCGTCCCCAACCCCACCTACCACACCCGTCCCCAACCCCACCTACCACACCCGTCCCCCAACCCCACCTACCACACCCGTCCCCCAACCCCACCTACCACACCCGTCCCCCAACCCCACCTACCACCCCCAACCCCACCTACCACACCCGTCCCCCAACCTCACCTACCATACCCGTCCCTCAACCCCACCTACCACCCCCCACCCCACCTACCACACCCGTCCCCAACCCCACCTACCACACCCGTCCCCCAACCCCACCTACCACACCCGTCCCCCAACCCCACCTACCACACCCGTCCCCCAACCCCACCTACCACACCCGTCCCCCAACCCCACCTACCACCCCCAACCCCACCTACCACACCCGTCCCCCAACCCCACCTACCACCCCCAACCCCACCTACCACACCCGTCCCCCAACCCCACCTACCACACCCGTCCCCCAACCCCACCTACCACCCCCAACCCCACCTACCACACCCGTCCCCCAACCCCACCTACCACACCCGTCCCCCAACCCCACCTACCACCCCCAACCCCACCTACCACACCCGTCCCCCAACCCCACCTACCACACCCGTCCTCCAACCCCACCTACCACACCCGTCCCCCAACCCCACCTACCACCCCCAACCCCACCTACCACACCCGTCCCCCAACCCCACCTACCACACCCGTCCCCCAACCCCACCTACCACACCCGTCCTCCAACACCACCTACCACACCCGTCCCCCAACCCCACCTACCACCCCCAACCCCACCTACCACACCCGTCCCCCAACCCCACCTACCACACCCGTCCCCCAACCCCACCTACCACACCCGTCCCCCAACCCCACCTACCACCCCCAACCCCACCTACCACACCCGTCCCCCAACCCCACCTACCACCCCCAACCCCACCTACCACACCCGTCCCCCAACCCCACCTACCACCCCCAACCCCACCTACCACCCCCAACCCCACCTACCACACCCGTCCCCCAACCCCACCTACCACCCCCAACCCCACCTACCACACCCGTCCCCCAACCCCACCTACCACACCCGTCCTCCAACCCCACCTACCACACCCGTCCCCCAACCCCACCTACCACCCCCAACCCCACCTACCACACCCGTCCCCCAACCCCACCTACCACACCCGTCCCCCAACCCCACCTACCACCCCCAACCCCACCTACCACCCCCAACCCCACCTACCACACCCGTCCCCCAACCCCACCTACCACACCCGTCCCCCAACCCCACCTACCACCCCCAACCCCACATACCACCCCCAACCCCACCTACCACACCCGTCCCCCAACCCCACCTACCACCCCCAACCCCACCTACCACACCCGTCTCCCCACCTACCACACCCGTCTCCCCACCTACCACACCCGTCCCCCAACCCCACCTACCACCCCCAACCCCACCTACCACACCCGTCCCCCAACCCCACCTACCACCCCCAACCCCACCTACCACACCCGTCTCCCCACCTACCACACCCGTCTCCCCACCTACCACACCCGTCTCCCCACCTGCCACACCCGTCCCCCAACCCCACCTACCACACCCGTCTCCCCAACCCCACCTACCACACCCGTCCCCCCACCTACCACACCCGTCCCCCCACCTACCACACCCGTCCCCCCACCTACCACACCAGGTCATGGTTTCCACCAAGTCTCCCTCCACATCACCCACATGGATTGCTTACACTGTAATTTATTGCTTTCTTTGTAACAACAGCAACGTCGACAACATCTACAACCACAACAACGCCGACCACCACATCAACCACAACAACGCCGACCACCACATCAACCACAACAACGCCGACCACAACATCAACCACCACAACGACGACCACAACGACGACCACATCAACCACCCCTACCACCACCAACGAGATGACCAGTGCCAGTTCAACAAAAGGTGACTTAAATTTTAAAAAAAACTTCTTAGTTTTTCTAGTTCATATTTTCATCTTAATTTAGCTAGATCTGGAATAGTTTGCATTTCAAGTTTGTCACATATTCATCTAATCTTATCCTGATTAGTTTTTATTTTACATCTGATAGGTAGCTAGAATAGTTTACATGTCACATCTAATATGCCGTAGGTAGCTAGAATAGTTTACATGTCACATCTAATATGTCATAGGTAGCTAGAATAGTTTACATCTGACATATAATAGGTCATAGGTAGCTAGAATAGTTTACATCTGACATATAATATGTCATAGGTAGCTAGAATAGTTTTAATGTTATGTTTGACTGTCGAATGATTCGTGTTATCCTTCCTATAGTAGTGGTAAAACTTCGCCAAATCCCACCCGCACCTCTGTCACCCTAACACAGGTTTAGGTGTGAATCGTAGGTTGCTTTGTATGACAATAACCATTTTTCTAACAAGTGCTTTGCATAATTAATTTTGATTTCCTTCATTTCTAAGCTTCAGCAGAGCAAGACTATTTTTTTTAAATATTACAGAATAAATTCTACTTAAATGCTGATAATCTCTAGTTAATTAGTATCGTAAGTCACAATGAGAAACGGTTTTCAAGCATTAAATCACACTTTTAAAAATATATATGTGAAATATATTCTTGATCAAAATATTATATTTAAATAAAAACACCCCCCCCCCCCAAAAAAAAAAAAACAACAAAAAAACAAAAACAACAGTCTTTTTACTAGAATTCACACGTACTTGAACTTAACACTAACAAACTTTAAAATGGACTGAAAACTAAGGAAAACATCCCCTATTTTATAGTTATATACCCTTTTCGTAATAATAACGGAATTCTTTAAATTAGTTTTAAAGACTAATTTAACATCTACAATAAAAATAAAAGAAATATTATTTTTTTGCATGGCAACTACGTGCTAATTTGAAAACAGATCGCTTCATTATTTTGGATTAAATGATTTGTCAAAATAGAAATATGAATTTACACGGTAAAGGGGATAGGGTGACAAATGTGTTTACTGGCAGACAGGCAAGTGGACAGACAGACAGACAGACTGACAACATGACAGACTAACAGATAAATGTCAAGAAAAAAAAACTGTTAATACAACACATGGAGCTTGAGTTGTTTGAATTCACGACATATCAGAAGACACCTCGTCAGCACCAGTAGCTACATCAACGGCAACAACATCAGTACCAACGACAGCACCGGCAGCAACAACTATATCAACAACAGCACCACCAACAACAAATATACCATCAACAGCACCGGTAACAACATCAGCACCAACACCATTGGCGGAAACACAAAGTACAGCGACAACC